GGAGGAAGGACCTACTGGAGGAAGGACCTGCTGGAGGAAGGACCTGCTGGAGGAAGGACCTGCTGGAGGAAGGACCTGCTGGAGGAAGGACCTGCGGTGACGCTCCTTTGTGCATTTAGGAGCAGGAACCTGTCACTGAACGAGCTCTCCAGTTCAGCAGCAGCTTCATGGGGTGGAGACGTTGTCCAGCAATGATGTGATTTTAGCTATTTAGTTGAGTTATTTTAGACTAAATTAATTGTGAGTTTTGTTGTGTGGATTCTGAGTCAGTGCTTTCAGGTGTAAGAGGAAAAGCTTGTACGCTCAATCATCCAGGTAGACAACAAAAAGGTTCGATCGTGTCATCTGGACCAGCTTGTTTAAGTGAGACACGTTTTGTCCCCAATCCAGAGGACTTCCTCAGTCTACGGCCTGCCAACAAGATCTGTTCCATTGGTAACGTTCACTGCTGTGTTTCAAGACGACCTCGTGTTGAATCTCAGCAGTCGACTTTTAACCCGTGCAAACCACTCATCCAGAACCGTCAGTCATCATGAACAATCAAACGTCTTAGGCCAGATGGACAAGGTGCTACTCACAGAAACGGCCCGAGGACACCAAGGCCAAAGAGGTTCAGAAGAAGGTTGTAGGCTTCATCATATGCACACACACATATATACACATACAACAAAAATATTTATTTAAAGTTTGATCAGGAGGAGAACGTCAGCTGTCACTGTACAACAACTAGATGACAGGTGGAGAACCTGAAGCTGTGATGACGTCAGAGGGAACGGACGTCTGGACGGACGGATCATGTGATTTGTGAGTGAAAGTCGACAAACGGGGAGAATGTGGAGTTTGGTTGTGCTCAGCTCAGAGTCCGGAGTCTGAGTTCATGATCCAAAATACAGGCGTGGGTCATTCAGAGGCAGGAAAGCTGAACTTGTCCGAGGGTTGTAAGTGGAATCGGTGGTCTGAAGGCAGAGAGACGTCTCCAGGCAAGAGGCATCCGGCAAGCACAGCGCACAATAAATAAATAAAAATAAAAGCACAATCACAACAATACAACACATCAAGCTCCGCCCCGTTAAAATAAATCCTGCTTCTCATGTAAAGCCAGGAGAACATTAGTAGCTACAACTTTCATGCCGATATTAGATCATGGTGACGTGCTGTACATGAGTGCTGCATCAAAATACCTACAGTCCTTAGACTCAGTGTATCATGGTGCCCTTCGATTCATTACTGACTCGTTATCTCACTCATCACTGTGAACTTTACGTCAAGTCTAGCTGGTTCCTCTGGTCAGAACTGAACTAGGACAAAGAGCATTCAGCTTCGCCGTCCCCTCAGCCTGGAACAACTTACAGACACATTTGAAACTATCAACACTCATCTCACCTAGATCCTTCATGTCAACCGTATCAGATAATGTTATCAAAAATCTGGACCATTGCAGATGTTTCTAAAACACTACTTATCAAATACACATGTCTTTGTTCACTTTTAACTCTATCTACTTAACCTGATGTCTGTTCTACATTTAATGTCTACAGAAGTCTGTCTTACCCGGATGGTTTCAAACTGTTAACATTTATTTATCGTGATAGTCGTTTCTTTTTTCTTTTGATAAATGTAAATGCTTATTGTCAATTACCCTGTGACGTGTGCTGATGACCACTTGACCAGGTCACCCTTGTGAAAGAGATCTCGATCTCAACGGGCTCTACCTGGTAAAATAAAGGTGATTGATTGATTGATTGATTGATTGATTGATTGAAAGCTCAGGAATCGAAAACGCACGCCCCACCCTTGGGTAAATGAGACTACACGAGGAGCAAGACGCCTGAACGTCGATGGAAAAAAGATCAACTTCAGGTGTCTTTTGAGATGTTAAAATCATGTTGGAAAGCCTATCAGACCACCGTTAAACAGGAGAAAAACAAATATTTCTCAAAAATCATCAACTCAAACAGTCACAACCCCCGTGTTCTTTTCAACACCATTAACACCATTAACTCCATTAACACCATTCTAAACGTGCCTCAGTCTGCCACCATTGAGGCCTCTGTCGACACCTGTAATAAGTTTGTCAGGCATTTTGTTGAAAGGTTGAGTCGATTAGGTCATCAATTCCACACTCCACAGCCGACCCTTCAGTTCTTGTCCCCTGCTCAGCAGTCTTCAGTCACTTTGACCCCATCTCACTCTCATTTTTAAATGAGGTCGTTGGTCACATGAAGCCCTCAGGCTCCCCTGCTGATCCCATCCCTGCTGATCCCATCCCTGCTGCATTTTTTAAACAGGTTCTACCGTCAACTGGACCCTTTGTTCTTGCCATTATTAACAGCAGTTTGGCTACAGGTGTGGTCCCCGATGTTTTAAAACATGCAGTGGTAACTCCATTAATTAAAAAACCCGGACTTGACCCTGCAGCTTGTTCAAACTTCAGGCCAATCTCAAAACTTCCATTTCTTTCTAAAATCTTGGAGAAAATAAACTCTGGAACAATCTGCCCATCAACATTCGACAGGCCACCTCAGTCTCTGCTTTTAAATCTCTCCTAAAAACACATCTGTACTCACTGACACATCTGTACTCACTGACACATCTGTACTCCCTGACATTTAACACAGGGTGATCTGATTTAGATCTGGTTTTTCATTGATGCTGATTCTGTTTATGCTTTTGTTATTATTCCTATTTAACACAAGGTGATCAGATCTGATTTAGTATTTCATTGTTTCTGACTGAGTTTATGCTTTTTGTTATTATTCCTTGACTTTTGACACAACGTGATCTGATTTAGTATTTCATTGTTTCTAATTGTTTTTGGTTTTATATTTTTATTCCATGTGCTGTAAATATATCTTGCTACTTTTTATTTGATGATGTGATATTTTTGTTAAACACTTTGGTAACAGTTTCTGTTTTAAATGTGCTCTATAAATAAATCTGAATGGACTTGACTTCACATCAATGTGAAGAAGACAACGGAGATGATTGTGGACTTCAGAAGGAACAAAAACACCTACACCCCCCTGAACATAAGAGGATCTGTGGTGGAAGTGGTCTCCAGCTTCAAGTACTTGGGTGTGCACCTGAACAACAACTTCAGCTGGAGCAACAACACCACCAGCCTGATCAAGAAAGATCATCAGAGACTCTACTTCCTCAGGCGGCTGAGACGAGCTGGTCTGGAAGCTCAGTCCTCACCTCCTTCTACAGGTGTGCAGTGGAGAGCATCCTGTGCTCCAGCATCAACGTGTGGCATGGAGGCTGCACAGCTGCAGAAAGAAAAGCTTTGCAGAGAGTGGTGAAGGCTGCACAGAAGATGTTGGAGTCAGCCTCCCCACCATCACAGACATCTACACCTCCAGATGCAGGAAGAGGGCCACCTGCATCATGAAGGACCTCACTCACCCAGCACACACACTTTTTGTCCCGCTCCCCTCAGGAAGGAGGTTGAGGAGCATTAAGTGTAGAACCACTAGACTGAGGAACAGCTTCTACCCTGAGGCTGTTAGACTCATGAATCTCTAACCAGAAGAATCACTGTGAAAAACCATATCATGTTGCTGCTGATCTGTTTCATGTTGCTGCTGATCTGTTTCATGTTGCTGCTGATCTGTTTCAATGTTGATGTATTCATACGTGCACATCCGCTCACACAGACTCATGTTCATGTTTGTGCTGATGTTCAATGTTTTATGTTATGAGTGCTTAGTGTATATTTAGTTGATGTTTTTCTTAGTTCATATCTTAGATGTTATTACTGTTTTTCTTAGACATTTTATTGTTGGATGTAACTGGGACCCTGTGGACATAATTTCGCTCCACCACATGTACCACATGAGGTGCGAATGACAATAAAGAAACTCTGACTCTGACCCGTGCTGGAGTTCTCTTCTACCGGACCCAGACCTAGGTTTTAGCCCGGGCCAGAGTTCACCTTTTTGTTCCGTGACAGAGTTTGATGGTGCGTTCACACCTCCCTAAACGAACCGGACTTTCTAGGAAAACGAGCTGGAGTTGGATTAAAGCGACTAAACAGGGCTGCTGTGAATGCACCTTAAACAAAATGTGTGGTTTTCTAATGCAATCTAATTATTTATTTTAAAACTAAATCCTGAGTTTGAGTTACATTATCCCCCAATCGATCATTTCCTGATGAAAAATGGATCTTTTGACAGTTTTTATGGCTTTAAAGGATGTTGACTGTTGGAGCATGTGGCGCAGCGTATCAGAGCAAAGTTTAACCACCACCGCGTGGGAAAGCACATAAATAAATTTAATAAAAAAGGTTGTGGCCTGACAACGGCAGTGCAACTAATCCAAGTGAAAACAGAAACCACGTCCCCCCTCCTGCACCCACACCGTGGTTTATCAGCTCGGCGTGGAAGGACTGGTAACTGCCACCACACGTGTTGTGCTGGTGGAGCACAGCGTACCTCCTTCTGCACCATGAAGAAGTCTTTCTTGTAGGCGGCGATGCCCTTGTTGAAGAGGCGCCTCTCAGCTGCCGTCCACCTGTCCGAGCCTGCGGAGGACGAAGACCTTGTTCAACTTGAGATGACTCCAAACCACAAGTTCTGAACACATCACTGCAGCTACTGGCCAACATTCAAACACAGCTTTGGAAAAATCCAAACCAAGGTAAAAGACGACTTTCTGAAGCGTGCGCCCTCGCTACGTCCAGGGTCGCCTTTCACTGGTTCGCTCCATCGCGGGGTTTCAGAATAATATTTGGACATGACACACAACTGGCTGATCGATGGATGAAAATAAGGTATTTTTAATTATTTAGCACCTGCGTGCAGCCCACACTGCAGGAGAAACGTCCTCCTGCAGCTCCTCCTCCCTCCTCCTCTGTGATAGCCATTCTGCTGTGGAAAAGTGGGCGTGGCTAAGAGCTCAGAGTGCAGCCAGAGGCAGGAAGGAGTCAGGGAGGAGGCAGGGAGGAGGCCGAGAGGAGACAGAGAGGAGGCATGGAGGAGGCAGGGAGGAGGCAGAGAGGAGGCATGGAGGAGGCAGGGAGGAGGCAGAGAGGAGGCATGGAGGAGGCA